GGAAGAAGCGGCCGGGGAAAGGGCTGCCGGCGCGGCCGCGGCGTCCCTCCCGAGGTGTCACCTGCCGCAAAGTCCCTGCAGGAGGAGGGCCGCCGCCCCCGAGGGGCGCGAGCTGGCTGGGCGACGGGGACGGCCGCCAGGTGACCCCGCTCCGGGCGCTCAGCCGACGCCACGGGTCCCCCGTCTCTCCCTGGCCTCTTACCGTGGCTCCTCGGGGGCCGGCCGCGTCCCAGGTCGCACAAGGGCAAGGGGGCACGGAGGACGCTTTGCCGAATTTCTCGCTGCCAGAACCTCCGACGCTCCCGCGGGCCACCGCGAGTTTGGCGCGCTCCACCGAGGCGCGGGGGGACGCGGGGCAGCCGACCGCGCTGCTGGAACGTAAAACGGGGAGCAGGGGGCGCCCCAGGGAGAGGGGCTGAGGCTGACTGGTTTGGTGTCAGAGTCACAGGATTTGGGCGTGCGTGTGCGTGTGCGTGTGTCTTCAAGGGCGCGCAGCCACAGTCACCTGTGGGGCTTTGCCAACTCCACCCCGCCACCTCCGCCGGCGACTTCCGAGATTGGCTCGCTCCCCACGGGCGGGCTAGAATTGGGGGAAGGGGCCGCGGGAGTTCGAGAAAGCTCTACAGGTGATTGGGAAGCTCCGCCTCCCTCCCGGCCCCCAGCCCCGTGGGAGAGGCCCGCGTGGAGCGGGGGCCCGGAGCGATCTTCCAGATGCGAGGGAGCCTGCTGCGGAAGTCCGGGTGGCGAGCGCGCCCCGGCCTCCCTCCGAGCCGCCCGCGGGCTGGAGCATCTGCGGCCGCGCGCGGCGGCTGGTGGCGGCGCCGCAGAGGCGCGCGGGAGCGCTGCGAAGCAGTGAGCGGACGCGCTGGCCCACGCAGCGACGGTATCTCTCCATCTCCTGGGGGCGGGGGGGGCGGCTATTAGCATACAATGACCTCGCAGTCCGGAGAGGAGGGCTCGGTCCTTCTTTCTCCTTCCGGACTTCCCTTGGATCTGGAGGTGTGGACCGCCCGCGGGGCGTCACTGGTGACGGGGCGGCTGTGAGAACGCAGGGCTGGAAGCTGCCCTGGATTCGGATGGGGGAACTGGCGAGGTCTGTCTGTGTCTGGGATTCTGTCCGTAAAACGCAGCCCGCAGAGACCACCTGCAGGAGCACAGGGCCACCCTGTTGTCTGGGTACGTTTGAACGCACATATTAGCACACGCACGCAACCTTAGATCCTTCTTATGCTAGGGATGTGTCCAACCGTGGGAAAGTGCTTCGCTGTTTGTCGTGTTCAAAAGGGCTGTGTCTGCCGGCGATTCCGCTAGAATGTAAATTATTCTCATTAAATAGAACGGCTGCAACTGAGCTAACTTCCTTGTTTCCCCTCAGCTAAACCTCTTTAGCTACTCTTTCTGGTTATTCCAGCGCTTACGGGCTTTGCGGCCCATTTAGTTCTGTTCAGCCAAGGCATGGGATGGCAGCAGGGTAAGGTGTGGGGGGAGGTGGATGATAAGCCCCAGAGCTTCTTGGAATCTAGATTCTCAGAGATGGAAGAAGCTGCGGAGCTCCTGCAGTCGCCTAGTCCAGCCCTCAACTTGTGTCTGCAGAGCTGGCAACCCCAGCACTTCCAGAGGCTGTGCACGTGTGGGGCACTGTGGGGAAGAAACCAGAAGTAGCAGCCCTCTCCCCTCCTGCTTCTCCCTGGGGAAGGAGGCAGACTGCGGTCAGGTGGGCCTGAGTTCCTCCCCTAGGAGGGGAGAGGCAAGAAGGAAGGAAACTACTGTTTTGTGTTGGTAAAACTCTGTTGAAAGATTCTTATTGCATTACATCATTATGATATACTCTCTTACCAGAAAAGTAATTTATGTGCATGGCATGACATGTGGCCAGTTAAAACGTTTGCAAGGAACCAAACAAACCTGGCCCCCAGATGCTATGCTGTTAACACGTTGGCCCATTTCCTTTTCATCTCTCTTTGTGCCTTAAAATCATACAGCCCATAGAGAGAGTCCATTTATTTAGAACCAGATACACGTGCGCTGTGCGGTGGTGAACAGTTCGTATTCAATATCGCATTCAGTCCTCATGATTCCCTCTCAGGCAGGTTTGAGTATCAACGGCATGTTTCTGGGTCTGCAGGGGAGTCCAGGTGACTTACCCAAGTCACACAAGAGCCCTGGTGTCTGAGTAGCTCGAAACACCTGCAGCTCTGTGGGAGAAAAACAGGGCTTTCTACTCCAGTAAATAGTCCCAGTCCCAGAAGCTCACAGGCAGTTCTGCCCTGCCCTGTGGGGTTGGTTATGAGTAGGCGTCGACTCGATGGCAGTGAGATTTTGTTTGCATTTTTTGGTTGTTGTTGTTGTTGTTTTTATCCAAGTAACACAGGGCCAGGATTCAAAGCCAGGCCATCTAACTCCTAAGTGAGGTTGGTGGCCACGGCTTCTCTGCTTTTCTCCTCAATTAGTGTTGTTGCAAAGGTCCTCTGTGGGCATCATTTTCATGACAGCATATCGTTGCACTGTTAGTTATTTAAGTTGTTTCCAGCCTTAGCAACTCTGCAATAACATCCCTGGGCAAGGTCTTTACGGCACACTTTCCCAATTACTTTCTTTGGAGAGATTCCCAGAAATGGAATCACTGAGCCAAAGGGCACAACTCTTTGAAGGCTCCTGATACACAGGACAAGCCACTTAGGGAAATGGCTACACTAGTTCACACTTACACCCACCAGGGACAACACCACCAGAAGTTCCATGAGCTGACCCCTGGGGGCCCCATTATGCAAGGGCCTCACAACTATGTGGGGCACCCTCCATGCCCTATGGGAGAAGAAATCACACATATTCGTCTGCCTTTCACTCACAAGTGCCCTTCTGGAAACTATCCAGTATAAAGTGGTACTTGTTTTTATGGAGCAAGTGTCAGCTGTAGCGTTCTCTGACTAGACACTGCCTTGTGTTAACCTTGACACCAACAGTGGTCTAAGGTATATAATGTTCACGACATTCCTGTTCCCCACAGCAGAGACTGTAACAACCCCCTCTCCTGGGGTTGCATCACTGTAGCGGTAAGATTCAGGTTGCCATTCGGCAGCTTAACCAACCGGTCATAGCTTCTTCACTTACAGCCATGTTTGTTTAGCTGTTTGTTTACACCAAGTCTCAGAATTTCACAACCCAAACATAGTGGGGATTATGTCACCTTATAAGTAGTGGAGTTTATCTGCCTTCCCCTCACCCCCCAAGAAAACCCCACTCAAGATTAATGACTACTGCTAAAACAATACAGCTGTCGACATCAGCCAAAAATGTCCGGTGGAAGAGAATGTGACCATGGAGAGCTGATTAGTCAACACAAAAAGATATAAATTGGGAATTTTAGAAGAAAACAAATTGCCCTGCCTGTGAGTTTTCCACATGTTTTCCTTGTCGTCTTTTCCAATAGTGGGCTTAGAATATCTGGAATGTCACCTTTTGTTATTAATGAAGTATATCTCAATTAAGCCCCTACTATAAGATCAAGACGTAGTTGGGACCTTAAAATGTCCTTCCTAGGACCCTTCCAGGACTCATCAAGTCAGTTGGAGACCTCTGCACCCTCATCACCCATGCACAGCTTGCCTCCCTTCTGGGAAGTCCCGTCTGGTACCTCCCACTAAACGGAGTTCCCCGGGGGCAGACACCATGTCTCATTCTCCCTTGTATCCAGAGCACCTGAATGCATCAACAACAAAGGGAATTATCTGGAGACCACACTGGGGGGGGCTGATGGACAGTCCCCTTCCATGCATCTTCATTCTGCCTAGGGGGCCTACTCCTGGAAATGTACCAGAAAGGTGCCTCAAACAAACCAGACTCATCCCAGCGAGTCCACGCTGACTCCTAGCAACCTACAGGACAGGGTAGGACTGACTGCCCTGTGGGTTTCCGAGACGGTAACTCCGTACAGGAGTGGAAAGCCTCATCTTGCTCCTGAGCAGCAGCTAGGGGTTCCAGACGCTAACTTCGAGCTTAGTAGCCCCACATGCAACCCAGCAGAGCGCCAAGGCTCCTTTAACTCGCAGAAAAATCAGCAAGTGGATTGTTGCAGACGTGTGAAGTTAAAATTGACCACCCTATCATTTGATCTCCCTTATGATCCATTTGCATTTGCTCTCGTTTTTTCCATCTTTTCTGCTTTCTTTTTGATTGAGGTTTTTACCTGTTTTATTTTGTTATTCTTGTTAATTTTTTGTTTGTGTTTTTAAATGTTTTTCTGTATATGAAATCCAGGATTAGTAAATATATAGAGACAGTAAATGTATTAATGGCTTCTTGGGGGTATGGCAGGGGAGGTTGGGGAGGAGGACAATGATGGGAGCTCATAATGAGTACAAGCACGAACAAAATGTTCTAAGACTCATTGTGGTGATGATTGTACAACTCTTCTTGATGTGATTGAATGGTTGAATTGTATGATATGTGAATTATATGCCAATAAAACTGTTGGGAAAAATATGAATATAAAATGAAAGATTTCTAGAGTTGCATTAAGGAGCCCTGGTGGCATAGTGATTATGCATTGGGCTGTGATCCACAAGGTTTGTAGTTTGAAACCACCAGCCACCCCATGGGAGAAAGAACATGTTTTCTACTCCCATAAACAGTATCATTCTCAGAAACCCACAGGGGCAGATCTACCGCGACCTGCAGGATCACCATGAGTCAGCATCTACTTGATGGCAGTGAGTTGAGGTTGCATTATTTAGCATGGTAGCCACTAAATTGTGTGGTTGTTTGCATTTTTACTTAAGCAATTTAAGCGAAATAAATTTAAGAATTGATATGAGTCACTTTTCAAATGAGTAATTGCAACATAGGCCTTCTGACTTCCAAATGTGGAAAATGTAGCTAGAGAACATCCACCATTGCCGAAGGCTTAGTTGGCTGTGAGGTACGCACTTGAACCCTTCTGGGCCTGTTAGCTAAGATCCAGTGTAGAGTATATGCTTGGTGCCGGCAGGAGGTGAGCATATGTCTCACTTGTTTTCCATTATATCCCCAGGGCCTGGCCCATAGAAGGATGAGGGGGTATGGAGAAAGAGGAGGAATAGAGGTGGTCAATGCAATAATAAGTCACGATAGTGTTTATTGAGCACCCAGTCGGTGTCCCATATTCTGTTATAGTTTATCCATATATATCCTCACTTAATATTCACATGACTAGAAGCCTGGCACTAGTCCCTTTCCACAGTCAAGGAAACGGAGCCTTAGACAGTTTAGGTGATTTTCCTGCTGTCATAAAGCCAGTAGGAGAAAATGACTTTTACACTCAGCTCTGTGTGACTTCAAAGTCTATTCTCTTGGGCCTTTTGCTTTATTGCCTCAATAAATGTGTATAGTAATGCTGGTGGGAATGACTCTTCAGTCTTGGGTCTCAGTAAGTCAGAGAAGGGGTATTGTAAACATTTGACAAAGGATCAAAGTACTGCTATACTTATAATTTGCAAATGCTAGTGGCACTTCGGGAGTGCAAAATTTTGTTAGAGAGGGGGAGTGGCATCCATACAAGAGACTTTGTCCTCCGATAGGTGAGACAGGAAGAAAAGAACCCACCACAGGGTGGCCTGAACAGAGAACCCAAACCTGGGAAAGTAGGCGA